GGAGTCTTCACGAAGGTGTCGCACTACCGGCCCTGGATAAAGAGAACAATGAAGAACTTCCAACAGCTGGTGTGAGGCTGACCTTCCTCTGTGCCTGAGCATCTTTTCTGGGGCAGATGCAGGACTCCCATGGGGCGGGCAGTGGGACTGAGGGGCCATAATAAATGGATCTCTAGCGAGTGTGACTGAAGTCTCACTGACTCACTGAACCACTTTCAACACGCAGCAGCATGCTCCAGGCAGCCCTCTGCTGTCAGTTGTGGGCCGTCCTTCCTCCATCTCCTCCAGCTCTCCTTCCCCCATGCTGTATAGTTTCTGAGTTACACCTCCGTGGTCTTAGCTGTCTGCAAGGGCTGAGTCTGAAGGCTGCCTATTATAAAAGGACAATCTTATTCCCCAAAATATGTTCCTCTCTAGGCCTTAGAAAATTCTTAACTTCTCACAGCCAACCACCATCACCAAACCCCCAACAACTCAGCAGGGAGAGGAGCAGGTGGAAGGGGAATAATTCCAGGGAGCCAGGACGCCAGGGGACCAGGCCTTGGGCACTGAGTTTCCCATTTCCAGGGCCTCTCTCTCCAGTGGGGGCAGCATCTCCCACAGACAGCACCATCTACAGCTTTGGAGTGTCAGGAGCTCCCACGATGGCCCCCAGCCTCTCTCAGGTCCCCTTCGCTGCCCTGTCCTGGGTCCAGCACTGAGATCATTCTTACCTTCCTCTCTGGTTGCCCACCCAACAGCAGCCCCTATTTTCCATCTGTATGCCCTGGCCACTAGCTCCTTTCCCTTCCAGCCCACTCTGTTTTGTGCCAGCCTCTCTCTCATCTCCCTAACTGAGTTCCCAAAGTCCCATGTGAATTCTCCTCCATAGCTTGTTCCTGTCATACCACAACCACCAGCCCACCTGATGCCTATTAGAGGACCCAGTACCAACTTTCCACCTGAGCAGACAGAGTTCACTTTCTCCATCCAGCCAAGCAAACCCCAGGGCTTCTACCACCATGGCCTGTGGAGTCCTCAGCCCCTTTCAGCCTGACCGGACACCCCCTCCTCACAAGCTAGGTTGTGGGAGCTCTGTGAGCCTGAGGGCTCCAGGGCTGTTGGACTGAAAGGACCACTTGGCTGTCCATCAGTACATCAATTGTTGGTCTCTCTCTTTGTGCCAGACACATAACAGGCTCTATCTCAGATACTGGGAAACTTACAATGAGGGGAAATTCCCTCTAAATTCTCCTTGTTCCTCTCTTTCCCCCACGCAGGTCAGTTTGGCCAATGGATCGGTATTTGGAATCCACAAGAAATCTTGTCTTGAAAATAATTAAATTCTCTGTATTTTATCTGTTTTACACATTAGGGTTTCACATGAGTGATCTTGTTTGATTCCAGAAGGGCAGTGTTAAAATGAAAAGACTTTGAGACCCACAGGTCCTGAGGGTCCTGACCTGTGCTCAGTGGAGTCCATGTCTGGAGGGGAGGGAGGGAGGGACGAGCAAAGAGGTGCAGGCTGATTTTTATTTATTTACATGTAGGAGTCTTGAGCCCTAGTCCACAAACCCACAAAATGCCACATTTCAAGTGCAAGCCCTTTCAGTGTGATGAAAATAACAAGAATAACAAGAAGCTTTCACGTTTTGAGGTGTGTGGGGAAGTCGCTCTGGTTTAACTGTGATTCACCCTAAAACTTATTTTTCCCAGAGCAGCCTGACTTATGACCCATCAAATACGCATTGTACATCAGCTCAAACATTTCTCCAAAGCAAAGAATGCATTCTTTAAAGATAGTGGTGAGTATCTCCCTTTCTCTGATGCCAGTACCAGCATTTCTTTCGAGATAAGCTCTTCTTCCTAGAGGACCAAGTTCAAGCTGACGTGCCATGTATGTGCCAAACTGCAGCAAAACATATGCTTGTGACTTGGAAAAAATTTGTATTCCTGTCATTCCTTGATTCCTTCATTGTGAAATGTTCTGTAGCCATGCTGTGACCCCGCTTCTCAGGAGAGCTTTCCTCCTTGGGGGAGACAGCACTTCTGGGCTAGTCTTCAGCAGTGGCTCAATAAATATCACTCATCTCTCTTATCTAAAGGTTGGTCATTGATTATTTTCATCACCAATTATGACCCAGACGCCTTATTTTAGGATCCTGTATCCTTCAAAGAGCACCACCAGTGAAGTGGATGTGACAGAACACAGCAAATTCATGATAGCTGGACAAACACCGAATCAACTGGGACCAACATCAAAAACAGAAGCACCATCATTAAAAAGAATAACAAATAAGTCTCCTCGATATAAAAAGAAAAATCCAGTACATTGAAAAATAAGATGAAAAGCAAACGAAAGCTCATTTGTCATTCAAAACTGTCCCCATGTCCATCTGCCAAGACTTCCCTGGGGCTCACAGCACAGGCAGAAGCACAGGGGAGGGAAGAACTGAATGCACGTGTGGAAATGAGCAAGTGAATAGCAGAAGGTGCACGAGCCAGGGGACAACTTTGGGTCACAACAGTAAAAAAGGACAGTCTTAGGAGAAGCTATCACTCTAAAGTGAGAGAGACCTGTGGGAAGCATTCCTCCTCTCTAGTTACCATTGTATTGTGACAAGGTCTGGCGATGGAAGGAGAATCATGCAAGGCACTTCTCCAGGGAACATAATTCTTTAGGCAGAATCCATTGTCCTTCCAAGTTTGCTGGTTAATCGGATGATCAAGAAGTATCTATATATTATTCTTGACCTTCTGCTTTCTGTTAAAATGTTATAGAGGTTTTCTCCTAAAAGCAATAAATAATAAATAATTGATGAATAGAAGGGCCGAGGGGTGCAGGGATGCCCCTCGGTGAAGAATGGCTGGCCGACACCCCTGATATTTTCTGAATTATATGCATGCTTTCTATCAAGGTTATGTCTATACTTATTTCTGTTTTTTATTCTTGAAGATATATAGTTTAGCTTAGCTTTTCAGCTCTTTACTTTACTAACAAAATGATATTTTCTCCGGCAGTGTGCTTAAGGGACTGTTAGCTCTACAATCTAAAAGACAAAGGAATGCTTTCACCCGCTAAAGGGCATGAAAATGTAAAGATGTTTAACTGCCCGCTGAGAATGCAGATAGCCCTGAGGATAAGATACCCTGGAGTCACCTTTTGTTCCCATTAACCATCAACACTAATGACATAAATGATTGAGGGAGGCAGGGATGGCTCCCCCAGGATGTAACCAGACAGAATGGTGTCCTGTCTGGAGGCCTGGACCTTCTCTCTTTGATTTAACTTTACCATGAATTACAACAGATGTCTAGGTACCTATCTCTTTTAGCTTAGAGACAACAAACACTAGTTAATTGCGGAGAAGACAATCATTAACCTTATGCTATATAGAATGGAATGCTAATAAATATTGTTGTGCTCCTTTTTTACTTCCTTATCTCTCTGAGAATATTTGTAGAGCTATTTCTGTACTAATCCTGAAAAATATAAAAACGACACTTGTGCACAGTAAAGTTGGACTTGCTAACACCAACCCAAGTCTCACGTCCTCTTTATTTTCCCCTCCCTCAGTTCACCGACGCTGTCTCTCCCACAGGAACCTGGAGTCTGCCGAGGCTGGACCCCAGCAGAGACCCCAGACAGTCAGCCATGAGGAGCTCCACAGAGTCACAGGGTGTAAGCAAGAGCCAGGGAGAGAGTAGCCATGGGAATGCGCCACCAGGGACGCGCATGTGTGTCCTCAAAGGACAGTGCCTGGTGGGTCAGTTTCCCCTCACACCTGACAGGAGCACTTGATATTGAATGACACACATGATGAAGGAAAATGATGACTTTCTAATGCCCGTAGCATCAGGAAGAGTGGGCTGCTCCCGATGGCACCTGTTTCCTTAAAACGACTTCCACATTATTTTACATCTATTTCTCTCTCTTGATCCAGGGATTTGTCTTCTAGGACTTAATCCTACTAGAGCTCTAAAAGCGTGTGTGTGTGTGTGTGTGTGTGTACGTGTTTGTCTGTGTGTTATTCATAAAGAGGATCATCACACAATAATTTAATAATGGACCCCAAACTGGAATCGGCATTAATTTCCAAAATGGGAAAATGGTAAAATATGGTACGTGCTGCTTATAAATTCTGCAGCTCTTAACATTCTACATTATCCGTGGCTCTAGGAAACTTGGCTAAGAAGATTAATAGGACAGTTATAGAAAACACTAATGGACATGTGAAAAAAAGCAAAAGCTCACTAAAAAATCAATGCAAATTAAAATATTAACAATTTTTTGCTTATCTAATTGGGAAGCATTTACAAAACTAATGATGCTTACATTCAGTACGGATATTGAGAAAACGGCATTTTCATACCATGTACACAAAGGTCCTTATAAAAAAAGGACAAAGGGAGTCTTTCACCTAGCCATCAACCACACTAAGAAAAGTGGACAAGGTTATTCCTTATAGATTTGTTACAAAAGTCAAATCTTCGAAATAGTGCCAATGTTCAGCACCAATCTGCTGATTAGATTTGAAAAGTTTCATACCATTGAACACTATGGAAACTTCAATGTTTTGAGACAGAATTACATTTTGTCACACAGAAGAATGTTCATGTGGTCTGTTTAAGTCAAGAGTAGTTAAAGATCAGTATAGACTACAATTGTATCTTTCCTTATAAGTATATTTTCCTTTTGGCTTTTATTCCGCCTACATATTGATTTTCATAATTTTCCTGTATTATTTAGATAACTTTAAGGTGTATTTATTAAATACTAATGAGATCATGAAATGATATTCAATAATTGATTTTTAATAAAATGAGGTAAAGTTTATGTTGAATAATTTAAATTATAGGATGAAAAACTAAATATATTTTGATCACGCCTATATAAAAATACACATAGAAAAACACCTACATGGAAAAACATCTCTTAACAGTGGTCAGTTGGGCGGTGAGATTAGAGCTGACATTTTTCTTCTTTCTGTATTTTAATTTATTCACAATTTTGAAACGTGTAATGATTAAAATAAATTTATTTTTATAAATATTACAATTCAGAAAAAGGTAGGCTTCAGTAAGATGGTCCGTGTGTTAGCTAACTTTAATTATTCTAACTGATAAACTATAGCATTTCAGTGACTAACACAAGAGAAGTCTAGTTCTTGCTCACACACAGTCCAAAAGGAGTTTCGTGGTGAGTGCTGACCCTCTTACTCTCAAGTGTCCTTGTTTGGCAGTAATTATGTGGTCACTCCATGATCAGAGACCAGGATCACTCCCCTGAAGGTGGCATCCGTGTTCCCCATGTTCACCTGCATCAAACCCTGGAAGGGGAGGAGTCTACATGGTCAGCGCAGGATGGTATTTGTGGTCTGGTCTGGAAGGTGCCACAGCATTTCCACTCACATCCCATTTGTGGCAACAGTCACACAGCCACGCCCAAGAGCAAGTGAGGCTGCACAATGTGGTTCACCTTTGCCCCCTGGAAGAAAAGGAAATTGTTTCACTAAACTGCTAGCTCATCTCAACAGCGATGCGCAAAAGTGGTTGCTGTTTATAGGGATCATGAGCCCTAAAATTTTTTTCTGCCCATAAAACTGATATATTTCTATTATAGAGAAAAATTGGATAATATAAAGATGAAAATTAGAGTCACACAAAATGGTTGTTCTGGTTCTTATCTTTCACATTAAAAAATTAGTTCAAATTGCATACAGCGTTTGACAATCTACATTTTCAACTTAAAACTAGGTGACACAAGGTGCTCCATGCCACTAAGCATGATGCTTATTAACATGATGCTTTTTAACAGCCGGGCAGCATTCCATCCCATGAATATATCACAGCTCTATTACCACTCTCCTCTCTTGGATCATCGGACTTTCTGATGATTTGTGGGAAGGGTCTTAGGGAACATGTCCACCTCCACATCTTTCTACGTTTACCAAGGGCCCCAGGGCCAGACGCTCAGTCTCAGAAGTACACTTTTCAGCCAGGAAACACTGAGGGTCTTGAAGTTCATTTAAACTGTTCTCTGCCACATCCAGGGTCTGGGTCCCTCTTTCTCACTGACTACTCTGAGGGGGAGACTGTATGCAGATGTTACTGAAGGTGTTATGTCACCTGCTCCTTTCTACAAGGACAACAGAACAGGCCACTTCTTGGAAAGAAGGTTTCTCGCTCCCAGCAGACAAGTGTGGTGGGAAGACAATGGCACAGGCACAGCCTTCTCCCAGAGCTGACACTCCAAGAAACATTACAGGCTCATCAGTAGAAATTTCCCAAGGAGCTTCCAAAACGTCCTTCTGAGAGTGACACTAAGGCAGCCCTGAGGACATCTGGAATGGCTCAGTAGTACATGCTGTCCTACAAAGCCAAGAGCACCGAGATTGGCTTCTGACCACAGCAGCGTCAGAGGGATGACGGGGAAGGGACCCAGCAGCAGCCTGCCCAAAAGATTTGCATTGTTGGCAGCCTAGGGGTCCCAGGGAGGAAGTGGGAACACACTTTAATGTCCCAACATCAGAGAAGAGAAAACGATGAAACTGACAGAAACGTAATAAAACAGTCCAAAGTACATGTAACCAGCTTTGGATGCGGGGAAAGGTTTCACATTCATGTTTGATCTAATATTACAAGTTTGTACTAAAATGGAAAACAAAAACATTTAAAAACATTCATATCCCTATCTACTCGCATACATTCCATTCTCCATGGACAACTTCAAGAAAGAAATGAGAGAACAGCGAATTTTTTACCTAAAGGAGCCAGGAACATACTTTGGAGAAAGTCCGGTCACCTGCAGGGTGTTCCCGGTGTGAGAAGATTGTGTTGACGGCAGCTCTCTGCTGGGGAACAGGAGCAACCAAGGAGCCTCCTGGGTGACCAGTCACACGGGCCATGAGGAGTTCATAAGGGGGCCATGAAAACCAGGGTGGTAGGAATGAAGGGGTGACAAAGAGACCAAGTAGGTCTGGGGGCAGAAACAGGCCAGTGTGAGTGAGGAGAAAAGAAGGACATGATCAAGAAGCGTGAGGGGGGAAACCGAAAGCTCCATTGGGGTCCAAAATATGAATTCAAGCTCTCTCTCAATATATTCTGGGGGAAGTAAAACTCAAGGTCCCTGTGTCCCCCACCATCCCTAGCTCAGGGCTTTGAGGAGCAGAGGGCACAGACAGCTCAGCCCCACAGCCCTCCCATCCCCTAAATTCCCTCAGCTACTGTCTCACCATCCTCCTCCCCTACAGCGCTGGTGGACCAAGCTGCTGCTGCTCACACCTACCTCTAGGCCATCTTTCGTTTGCAGCTGTATAAATGTCATCCTGGGGCCCAGAACATCAGAGGCTTGAAAGCACCCAACAGTGCATGTCTGTGCTCAGAGCATCTGCCACCTTGAATATGATCAGCAGAACAACCTGAATGACCTCATGTTACTGCAGGCACCATCTACCTGATGCTCTGGTTCCGCAGCCTATCTGGCTTTCTCCCATCATGGAGGTTCCATCCTGTCTTGGGGCCAAGGGGGATGAAGCAGGCACAGATTTGCACATAATGGTGGGGGCAAGAGGTGAGCTATCCCCAGGCGTCCCTGAGGGCCTGCACTCTTCCTGCCAGCTGGAGAATAGAGCCAGACTGAACCGATTCTGAGGCCAGTGCTCTTCCTCTGACTCAGACCAGGTCAAGTCCTGGGACCAAGTGGACTATGGTGGGATGGAGCCTGGTTGGCCAGTATGGTAGAACAGACATGCTCGAGGATGAATGGCTGAGACAGCAGAGGGATCTGAAGTGCAGCAATTGCTTCAATTTCTCCACCCAACCCATGCAGTTTTCTGTGGGGAACCCAAGGAAGAGGAAGTCCACCTTCCTGGTAAGGCCCTGGGCATCAGCCAACATAGCCCAAAGCACACGGGCCTGGGTGGTACTGACCACTCTGAAGAAACTACACCCCCACAGCTTCAGTGTGGGGCCCAGACCTGGGTGACATGGGGGCCTTTTCTATGGAGTCTGTTCTTAGGGGATTTGAGGAGCACCGGATACAAAGGTACATGTATGCAGCCTCGTCCTGAGGAAGGGAAATGTACCCTGACTTGAGTTGAGCTACAGACCATAACCACAGTAAAAACCAAAGTCCAGTGATGGAAAGATCTGGAAGCTTGACATCTGCACCTCACCACCCTTCTATCTCACACATCCCGCACTCAAGGAGCCTAGCTGTCCATATCTTCTCTGAGGGCTATGACTTAGGGCAGCAGGAGTGGGGAGGCCTGACTTCATGTCCCTTCTTCTCGTCATTCCTAGGGGGACACCGATGGCCCCCTGGTGTGTCACCATGAGGCACAGGCCATTGTCTCCTATGGAAATACGATGGGGACTCCTCCAGCAGTCTTCGCCAGGGTTTCTAGCTTCCTGCCCTAGATATGGAGTACAATGAGATGCTTCATGCAGAGGGGGGCGACTGAGATCCCCCCGGTGACTCACTCTTCTATGGGACAGAGGCCAGCTCCAGGGGGATTGCCAGAACCTAAATAAATGACCATGGCTAGTGAGGAAATATCCAATTTCTCATTTGCTCAGTCAAAATGATTCAGTACACAACAAATATATGCCAGGGCTGAGTCTGAACAAATCCAGGATTACGGAGTCTCTTCCTCAGGACAAATCCATCCCACTCAATTTCTTGGAGATCAGTATGGGCTTCTTCCCTCCTCAAAACCAACCATTGCCCCATCTCCCCTCCCTCCATGGTCTTGGGAAGGGATAGAAGGACATCTCTCTCCCTAGGGCAAGGCTCCTCACTCCACCCCTTACCAGAGACCCCCTAATAGATATTCAAGTACAATCCAAATTCCATATTGACTGCAGATTCAACCAATGGGGATCAAAAACCCTATGATGGTAGCATCCTATTGAACGTGAACAGATTTTTTTGTCATCATTCCCTGAACAATAACTACAGTATTAACAACTATAGCATTTGCATTGTATTAGGTATTGTAAGTAATCTCGAGATAATTTGAAATATATGGAAGGGAGGATGCACATGGGTTATACTCAAATAGTTTGTCATTTTGTACAAGGAATTGAACAGCTGCAGATTTTGATATCCACGGGCATCCTGGAACCCATCCCCCTTGGATACTGAGGGATGACTGTAGGCTCTAAAACTGTGTGCCATGGTGTGTGGGGGACAGGCAGAACAAAGGACAGAATTGAAATGCCGTACAAGGCCTAATTTAATACATGGTACAGGAGGCATCCCAAATCACTGGGAAACAATAAACGTCTGGTAGATGGTGATAGTACAACTACATAGTTATTGGGGAAAAAGAGAAAATTGCATCTATTCTTCACACCATAATCTAAAATAACCCTCAAATGGATCAGAGATCTAAATGTAAAAGAAAACATACAACACTAGAAGGAAAGAAAAAAAAAAAGATTTGTTTGCTTAAAAATAGTTAACAACCTACCATGTTCACAGCAGCACTATTCTCAATGGCCAAGAGATGGAAGCAACCCACGTGTCCATCACAGCCAGAGTCCTTCTCCTAAATCCTTCACCACACCATCCCCACCGTACTGTGGACCAAAGCTCTCATTGTCAATGTGAGGAGGGCCTGCTTCTTGTTTGGATGCTCTGAAGATACACAAAACTCCACACAAAATGCTCGCCAAAATAAAATGACTTTTAGCCTAAAGATTAGCCCATATTCAAAGAAAAGATTACTGAAGTCACTTAATTTAAATCATGCTTTAAAAACTTTCTTAAGGTAAGTATATAGAATGAGCTGGCAGATTTTTCTAGCTCCATCAAAATGTGAATTACTCTGACAGTCTATATAGAAACCAATCAATAATAATGTACATCTGAAATTACACAATGTTATACACCATGGTGACTTCAAAAATAATTATTTCAATTATTCAAAAAATAATTGAAAAAAAACAAAAAAGTGTAAGTCACTCTTTGCAGTGTGACATTTACCATCTGCACTTATGCAGTTTCTGTTCTCTTACGTGGAATAATCACTGAGGAAGTATTTTGTCAAATCCGAGTGATGATAAAGAGAAATTCTTTGTTAAATGTGAACACTATTTTATGGGTTTCACTTATCAGAAAGTCATTAGTCTACTGTTCAATGTAAGCCATGTATCAACAAAATTTTAATCAACAATACCTCTTTGAGAATACCCAGGCACTCTCTGTATTTGCTATCATCTACCCAGAGGAATTCTCCTTTAGTAGCATGCTCGGGAGGAGAAACGTCTCTTTAGTAAATGTTTGCACTGGCAAAATGGAAGAATACTTGATTGGGGGGAGAGAGCAGTCACAGAGTCCCCCATTCAGCCCTTCCTCTCTGCGGCAATTCCTTAGAGCCTCAGAGCACAGCCCAGTCTCAGGACTCAGTCCCAGGAAACACCCAGGGCAGACATGTCCCACTACCATGTCTTTCTCTGCCTGTCAGCACTTCCCAGGCAGCTCTCTGCCTCTAGTTGCCCTGCGGGAAAGGTTTCCAGACATCATGGTGCTCACCTCCAGGAGACAATTCCTTCCTGATCATCCCAGAGGCCAGCCCCACCACCTTGCATTGCTCCACACTCTTCTCTCTTAAGGAAACCTCAGCAGCAGAGCTCTGGAATTAGTGTTTTGCACATTGACATCTAGTGCAAAAGGACACAATTCCTCCCACTCTTTCTCCAGGTGCAGACTATGCATTAAAGTCACTACGGACTAGACTGGGAAGCTGTAAAACCATGAGAAGCTCATGCTTATCAACCTCACCTGGAGCTAAAGTAGATTTCTGGTCTGCAGGGAGCACACACTGAACTCAGGCATATTTGTCATCAACTTTCCTCTAAGGCTCCCTTTCTGTCCTCTTCTTACCATTCTACTACTCTCCTTAACACCCCGTCTCCACCCCTCCCCCATCTCCATGCAGCAGCCACACACCCAGGATTCTGCCATGGGCTGAAACTACCCAGAAGTTGATGGAGGACTAGGCTCTTGGCTAGCATGTTTCAGGTGAGACCAGAGCTGGGCAGTATTATTTTTTTAAAGTATCCTCTTTGGTGAGGAAGTTGGGCCCTGAGCTAACATCTGTTGACAATTTTCCTCTTTTTCTTTTCTCCCCTAAGTCCCAGTGCCTAGTCATATGTCCTAGTTGTAGGGCCTTCTAGTCCTTATATGTGGTATGTTGCCACAGTGTGACTTGAGGAGCAGTGTGTAGGTCTGCGCCCAAAAGCCACACAGGTGAACCCTGAGCCACCAATGTGGAGCCCGTGAACTTAACCACTTGACCAAGGGACAGGCCCCAAGGCCACTCTTGCATGAATACAGAAAAAGGGCTCAGGCTTCAAATAGTGAAAGACTAAAAGGGAAAGGATTGGGTCCAGTGATGATATTTTAGGAACTAGCTTGATGCTGATCACACCCAAGGCGATGTGTGGTGATAGTCAGGCTCTTTGAACACCCAGAATTCAAACAAGGTGGGGAGCATCACTTCTGACTCAGGCCAGGGTCCCCCAAAGCCCTATTCATTCCTTCAGAGTTGCCAGTATTTCCTCCTGGTGAGTGTGGTCACGCTGACTCAGCAACGCCTAAGAAGGGATTTCTTACAACACCTTCAGCACTTGGCAGAGAGCCCCAGCCAGGCTATCTCTGTGACCCATCCTTGTCTCAGTCCTACCAAGGAATTTGCTGAGCCCAGCGCTATTGTTGACAACAATTCACTGAAAGGATAGAAACTTCTCCAAAGGGCAAGGCTGGGCCTCTCTGTTTCATGGCCCGCTCACTGGTAACCAGGACTTGGATAAAGTATTAGGATGGCACATGATTCTAGTGGAAAGAAAGCTGAAAGGGAGCGATATAACTTTCCATCCTCCAATGCTAGGAATGATTTTCTATGCCAAGAGCTACTGTCTACATCAAAAATAGGAGAGCTTATGAAGAGTTTCCTAGGTGTCCCCTTCACTTTGTCCCTCTACTGCTGTGCCATACAGCCCTACCAGGTCAGATAACCAGAACCTAACTGGGCCATCAGAGTATTCCTTCAGCACTACTCCAGTGGCCCAGGTGGAGAATGGCTCCCACCCAGACCCTTCCTGCCAATTTGCCCATCTCACTCTGATTTTCCTTCCTGTCTATCTGCCCTCATTTTTCTGAGAACTCAATGCCTTAGGAAGTTAAATCCATGCAGGTGTTCAGAAACCCATGTGGACATCTCTCACCCTCATGCAAGCCAAAGCAAATTTGTATACTATTCACTCATGCATCAAACACACCTTTATGGATATTTCGCATGTGTCCAACTCAGGATAGAAGAGAAAGCTACTAGAGTATTCTGCTTGATCAGGTCCAAATATTAAGGTCTTAGAGACGAGCCTCATCCTGGAAGAGAGCAGGACACAGGAGTCTGAGATAGTCAAGGACAAAGAAGCAACCAGCAAAGGCAAGAGAAAGTGATTTCCATTTTTTCTGGACAGTCTACCCTAAAGACAGAACCTTTCCCTGTGAGGTGTATCTGAAGCATGCTTGATACAGACCAGAGGTGAGTTCCTCATCACAACAGGGAGACACTGAGAACTAAGGAAGGTGATGGGCCATGCCACAAGGCCATCATGCTGTCCATCGAAGCCAGGAGCCCCATCTCAGTGTATAGCGGGCCTGATAAAGGGCTCCCTTCCCCACCATGTCCACCTCCACAGACTATCCCAGGCCCTAAACATCCTGTCTTCTGTCCACTGGATCTTTCCTCTGGTTTCTAGAATTCTCCTCAGAGCACCAGACCAGGATCCCACAGACCCATCCTCAAGTTGAGATTTCTCAGACCTAATGCCAAGCTAACATGTCAAGTGGTGAATGAGACCAGACAAGTGGAGGAAGATCCCATCCTCCACCCTACTGTGCAGCTTCACTGAGGATCAGCACTAGGGATGTGGTTTCTGGAGGCAACGCCGCTTATATTCCCATTTCTCAGGACAGGCAGTTTTGTAGAAAGACCATAGGAGCAGTGCACAGTCACTCTTTGTTTGGGCTGGTCTTTCCTTGGAAATAAGAACAAAGGCCCTCAGGAGGCTCAAGCACCTCTCCGTTTTCCCTGATGCCTTTAATACGCTGGTCAGATGAGGAAATTTATTTCTGCTCTCTCTCTTTTTCCTCCAAAATACTCAAAAGTGTGGAGAGCCAGGCCTCTCTTTCCCACCTGAATGCATTCAGGAGAGGTTAGGAGGAACCTCAGCTTCATCTTGGTGGTCAGGGGCAGAAGGATGAATTCAGGCAGGCTTGTGTGCCATCGCTTGCCCCTCCCCAGCTCTTTCTCTCTCCCTCCACTTCGCTTCAAAACTCTGCTTGCATTACTACTTAAAATAATAGCTCTCCTTATTAGTTTATCTACTGCCTAGTAAGGTCCAATTCCTAAAAAACAGGTAAATCTGAAGATGAGACCATGCTCAAAGCTCTTGCTTTTACATAAGAATCTCTTGGAAATTGATGCAGACACCAAGAAGAATGCTGATTCCCTGGGACTAGCAGGAGAGGCCAATGGGGAGTTCTTGTTTTTTGAGTTCAGAGTTTCAATTTGGGAAGATGAAAAAGCTCTGGAGATGGATAGTGGTGATGGTTGCACAAGGATGTGAATGTACCTCATGCCACTGAACTGTACACTTAAGAATGGTTAATAGGGGTTGGACCAGTGGTGTATGGGTTAGGGTCACTCACTCTGCTTCGGCGGCCAGGAGTTCACAGGTTCTAATGCTGGGTGTGGTCCTACACACCTCTTATCAAGCCATGCAATGGCAGCATCCACCTTCAAAATAGAGTAAGATTGGCACAGATGTTAGGTTAAGGCCAATCTTCTTCACATAAACAAAAAAACGTTGATGGCTAAATTTTAGGTTCAATGTATTTGACTACGTTTTAAAAAGTACTCATAAAAGCGAATCTTTTGTAATACAAAAGGAATAAAGCTCTAATGGTCGAAAACACTTCTTGTAGAAAGTGGGCAGTGATCTCCTCTGCACATATGTGGCATCGTTGCATTCAGGTTTCTAAGCCAAGTAGAAAAGGCATAATGTCTGCTTGCTGTCACAGACGCAGAAGTAGCGGCACACCAACATTTCCCTGCACTAACACAACATAGAAGCAGCAGCTGTGGGGAGAAGGAGCCAGAGGTCTGTCTGGAGAGAGGGCTCGGCTGGACAGGAGACCATGAGATCTAGGGTAGAAGGGAAGGAGGAACGAGGGAGATCTGGCCCATTCTTCTATGCTACTTTATCCTCGTTGGAGTTTCTTGAGCGTCTTCTGGGTGTACATTAAGGATTATGGTTTGTTGGGGACTTACATACACCAAAATTGAGAAATTTTTAGCCATTATTTCTTCAAATTTTTTTTCTTCTCTTTTCTCTTTCTTCTCTCCTTCTGGGACTCCCACTACACGCATATTGCGTATGGTGTCCCACACATCCATGACACTCTGTTCACTTCTCTTCTTTCTTTTCTCTTTCTGTTCACTGAAAAGTTCTAAAGCCATTACAAATTTAGTAATGAGAACCTCACAAGAGCAACCAAGCTTCTCTCCAGGCACGATGGCTAAGCAGAGGCACAGGTGCCTTCTGCCCTTGACCAGAGCAACAGAGTCATGATCAGCTAGGTGTGGGTCCAATGAGACAGGGGGCTAAGATGGGCAGAAGGAGAGCAGACAGGGGCAACTGCTTGCCAATATGATCTGGATCCAGGAGGTACCCTGGGAGACCCGGGGTCTGAGTCATTTGTGCAGTAGACATGCAGGCCATGGTAGTGCCCCAATAGCTCAGAGGAAAATTATCAGAAAAAATGTGGTTGCACAGCCAAAGTACAAGGAACCAGCTACAGCAATTGTGAGAACTCTCATGGGTCTCTTGACAAGATGTACTCAAATGATAAATACCTACTTTGGGCCAAATTACATTCTATCATCTTTGATTTTCTATGCTTCCAAGAATTCATAAATATTATTTAATAGGTACTTAATAACCCAATGTGTTAACATGCAATTCATTAATAAATCACTTCAACATTGCTAAACAGATTGGGGTTTCCACATCGAGGGTGGGGAGGAGGCCTAAGCCATCAAATGTAGGAAACAGTGATATCTCCTAAAAGCAACAGCCACATCTGGGATAGAGAAGGAAAATGAGAAGACACTTGACATGTTCCACCTTCTGGGAATGACTGATCCAACAGATGCAAAAGCAGCATAAGCATTATGCCAGTTTGAGAAAGACTTGAGAAGTCTTCTGATATCTATATTAAATTATATAAGAACAAAGAAAAAGAATTTAAACTTTCCAGCTTAATGCTTGTATTCTAAGTAGCACCATAACTTTGAATTTCTCCTGTGCGAAAGTATACAGCCTTCAAACATCTGTGTGCAGAGAGCTCTGAGAGCAACCATGCCAGGTTCCTCACCAGGGATGGGCAGCCTTGGGGGCAGAACCTTTGCCTACATCACAATCTTCACTGCTGCATCAGAATACCTGTGCCAGGTGGGACAGGAGTGACTAAGGAACTCAGAATGAGTGACAATGCTTTGTTTCTCCTCTTTCAGTCTCTATCTGCATGGCCCCAACTACTTTAACAGTGAGGCCTTTAAAGCTTTGAAATATCAAGAAGTTGAGAACAACATTAGCTTTATCAGGACAACCTGGGACCACACAGTGACCTCAAGTGCATTTCTCAATCCAACCCCTCCTCTCAAGCTCTCCTGTTCTGTCATTACCTTCTCTTCCTAGCACTCTCATCAATGACTTATCTGTACTTCATCCCCAATCTCTGCTCCTCACTCTCATGCCTAACAGTTTCAAGTTGCCTGAAACTACGAAGACTTTGATGGATGACTGGGCTCTTGGCGAGTGTGTTTTACAAGAGACCAGTGCTATGTACTTCGGCATTTGTACAAAGAGAAAAATTCTTCGGTTAAAAATCAATGAAGCTCTACACAGAGTACGATTGGATAGATGCATGTTGTTTTAGGAAGTACACAGTTGCCTAATTACAAATTCAAGGCAGACTGTTGTCATATTCACGCTCTTGAAGGGTCTCAGTTAGGGCAAAGGGACACCATTTCTGGCTAATCCCAAAGCCTCCAGAAAGCCTGATCTCCACTAAAGGAGTCCAGGATTTTCTCCTGGAGAGTGTGTTCTCCTAAGATTGTGGCTCTTGCAAAAGCCTCACCGAATAGACCTGTTTGAGTGAGGGGAAGAGGGATGTAATGAAAACTCTTATCGTGAGAATCAATAAAACTGGGAGGAAATTGGTTGTCACAGAGCCTCCTCCTTCTCCCTTCACCTCTAGGATTGAAAAGCCTGAGAGGAGTAGGCACAGAGCACTTCAGACCTGATCAACCTTTCTGAGAAGATGCTGCTGCTCTGTTCTGGTTGGCCAATCTCCTACCCTCCAGGGCTGAAGGAGGTAAGTTCCCCTGTAGAGAATCAGAGGCCTGGCTTATTCCAACACTGACAATTTCACAGTGTCCCATGAGGCTGCCATTATATCCTTACTTACCTCAGTCCATTCCCAGAAATTGGCTGATCCCCAGATCTGTCACCAGCTATGCAGTGTGGAGAAAGAACAGAAAAGAAAGCTCCTCCTAAGGACACCTGGTGGATCTTCTCCCCACCGAGGGTCACATCCTTGTCACCTGGAAAATAACTTAGTATTAGGATAACACATGATTCTTGTGGAAGGGGAAAGCTGAAAATGAGTGCTGTAACATTCTCCATTCTCCAAAGCTACAAGTGGTAATGTACACCTGGAGCTATTGTATGGATCAAGAACAGAAGAGCTAGCTAATACACCATTTCCTAGGTGTCACTTTCACCTTCTCCCCATTGTTTAGAGCCACTCAGCTTTCCAGGGCAGGTATCTAGAACCAAACAGAACCATCAGAGTGTTGCCTCACTGCTTCTCCCTCCTCCCTGGTGGAGACTGGCTGCCACCCAGACCCCTCCAGCCCATTTCCCCATCTCCCTCTGATTTTCCATCATTTGTATTCTGCCTTCTGGATGACTTAGAAAGTTAAAGCAGTGATGAAGTTCAGATTGCATTCAAACCGCTCCTCCTCTGCTGTTGACCAAAGCAGATTTGAGGACTGTTCATTCATGTACCCGGCCAGCATTTATGGGATTTGTACTATGTGCCTGAGCCAGATGGAGAAGAAAGAAACCAGAGTATTTGGCTCCATGAGCATAAAATGGTCAAGTCTACGAGCAGACCCATTCTAGAGGTAAGCGGATCACA